AAGCCAGTGCCCCAGATAGTAGCAACTCTACAGAAAATCATATTCAATTTTGATTGCATATATATTCAAGCCACCCCGCCCAAAACCTGCGCGCATCCCTTCTTTTTGCGTCACACATGCACTCAGTCTGCTCTTGTGCAAAGCAAACGGGGGAAAACGTAGCCCCACCTCGATCCGCATGGGATCGTGGCAAAGACTGGGCCGGTGCGCGCCCCCCCTGCTCGGACGGAACGTCCCGTGAAATGAGAAAAACTCCGAGCTATGCACACACCTATACAAAGTAAGCAGGGAGAGAAGCTCTGCACGGTACGTCCCTAAACTACAAGGCTGCCGTGCATGTTTCTCCAGGACACCCACGATTGCGATTCCGGGGACCCAGAGCTAAAACCCCTAACCTACTCGTCATAGTCCGGGAGATCGTAGTCGGGGACCATGCCGGACTCTAGGAGGACCTCCTCGTCGGGGCTCTCCTCAGCTGTCGGCTCAGGGGGTGCGTCAACTTCCATCGGGACCTCCACCGATGGGGCTGGTGCAGCCGCTGAGTCGGCTGAGGGCTGTGGCCCTTCCGAGTCTGCATCGCCAGCTGTTGAAGGAGCGGCTGACGATCTTGCCTTTGAGGTTGGCCGCCCTCCCTCTGGAATCGATTCCAGGTCCGCCTCTGTATCGGCCGGACGGAACGTCCCTGGCCGGTGGACGCCCGGGGGATAGTTCTCCTCGAGGTAGTTGGTGTTGGGCGGAACACCCCCTGGCGTGGAGCTTGAGGTCCCTGCCTCCCTTGCCTCTGCGGCAAAGGAGGATCCGTGGGCAGCAAGGCTCAAGAGCCGCCGGTTGCGGCTTCTTGGCGATAAGGCCTGCCAACGTTCCGCGATCCTATCGTACGTGCTCTGTAGGACCTGCAGGTCCTCCCGGTCCTGGGCCGTCAGCCCATTTTCGTCAAGGTCTGCCTCATTGACGGGAGGGTCGTGGAAGGAGGGAGTATAGATATAATTGCCGTCGGCGTCTCTCTCTTCTCCCACTGAACTTGACGAAATGGGTCCTGAACCGCTGGCCGGAACGGCCCCGCCTGTGGCCTTAGGGGCATTGCCTGCTGGCTCTGGCCCGGCCGGTGCGGCCCCCTGTTGCGGGACGACGGGCCCCTCGGGGTCCGCCCAACTCAAAGGAGGTTCCTCAATCTCAATCTCCTCGTACTCTTCCTCACGAGGGTGGGGATCCTCATAGTTGAGAGCAAGCCATGCTTCTGGAGAACTTGAAAGACTTGTTGGGTATTACGAACCAAAAAGTCGCTGCCGCGGCTCTGCGCGGATTTCACACTCAGCCTCGACACTCATAGGCATGCCGACAGGCGACCTATGGCCAAGGATATCTCTCACTACTCTCGATCTTGTATATAGCTTCGCATGAAATGCACGCGTCACATGCATGCGCGCGCAACTCTCAGCTGCATGCAATCTCCGAACAGCATACTTCACGCTTGGAAATCTATATATAGGCCCTGCTAGCGCTGCCAAATTCAGCTGCCAGCGAGCACATCTACACATACATAGATATATATATATGACCCTGCTAGAGCGCCGCCTTGTAAAGGCAGCTGCCAGCAAGCACTTCAAACATAATGAAATCATCCTCCTCTACACGCACGCCGTTGCAAGAACTTCTAAATAAAAATGAGATCATGGGCTGCGCGCATCTGTTTGAATGCGACTGCACGCAGGCCTGCTCATTCGTAAGCAGCCGCAAGCCTCCGCCGCAACAAGCAAATCCACCCTGTAAATACACCTGATATATAGCTACTTAGCTTACTTACTAAGTTCCATGGAGCAACTTACTAACTCAGTCATGTCCACTTAATATCGAAATCGTTAAGTATACTAAGTCTGCTATCTACACATATGCTAATTTAGTTAAATGGTCCTGGACGCCTCTATCTACTTAAGCCACATAGTATGTAGTTGCTATGTACGACGAACAACTTATTATCTATGACAAATGTTTGGCGCATATAGCCTGCTTACTAATTGCGCTATCTACAACATATCGCAATTACTAATTATACTTAGCAAGAATAACTATATCTAGCATATCTGCTAAATAGTTAGTAAACCCACGCCCGGCCAAGTATAATATGGGAAATAAATTCATGCGTCAAATCTCGAATCAATCTCCAATTAATATGAAAGATGTCAAATCGGCTGATCTCTTCGGATGATATATCCGAAATATTTAGGAAGATCGTCGCTTATAGATTTCGGATGATCAGTTAGAGATTTGGAATATGATTTCTTTTATCCGATGCCGAGATGCGTCAGAAGTTGCGGGTTGCGGTAGGGAATCCCTATGGCATAATAGGAATGCCTTAAGGACTCATATCGATTTATATTGTCGGGGAGTCCCAGGGTCAATTCATCAACCGCATGATGATGATAACAACGGCTGCAGGGATCTAGGATTTAGCAGTAGGACCCTAAGGATTCGTTTCGCTTCCGGCGTTCACGTCCAATATTGGTCCCATATCAGGATTGCGGATGATATCAATCTCTCCGGATCACGTAGCAGAATCTTCCTTCCCTTCACGATATATTCATTATACCTATTTTCTCCAAGGATCCTCTTCTTATAACGAATATATTGGTTTGCGGATCTTATCTCCTCTAATGATCGGGATATTTGGGATGCTCTCCCGGTCGCGGATTCGTAATAGACGCGTAGGTTTTGGATTGAATTTTTCATATTTCCTAAATCGGTCTCTAGATAGAATAAGCGGGGATAATATCGCGATCAAGTCATCCTCTTCATTAGAAACTTGCTTATTCGATAGAAGATGGGAGAACGACAGGGCCTGCGGGATGAAGCAACCATGGTGATTCATAAGCGCGGATAGAAAAGATAAAAAGAGAATGATATTGAATAACGCGAAATTGATATTTGTCGTTTGATATCTCTCGACCGTCCAGGGCAGATTGCTAAATTATTGATTTTTCCGAGATTCTCGGAATCTAATGATAATATTAAATGCAAATTTCTGGCTAAATTACCTCCTAATCCTGATGATATTGCGTCTCATCCCATCCAGGGCGCAAGTACCCGCTCCTCAAATTCCTTTGGAATTGGTATTCCTATAATATTTCTCAATTGGATCTGGAATATGACCCGACAACCTGCGAATTGATTTCTTGGAAAGAATCATTAGATATTCTTTAGATTCGGAGGCATTGCATACCTTGCGTGAATTCCTCCAAATTTTGATAGATGCGGAAATTCCTGATATGCTGCAGCCTTGGAAAATGGAAGGGAGCCTTATTATAAAAGGAAAAATTGATAAATCAGGACGCCCAAGCGCATTGGTTCGCGATGCTCGTCTCATCGTCATGAGATAGGCCTTTCATAAATTGGGATTTAAATGATCTTTTTCGCCTTGATGCGGAAGATTTTAAGACTTGCTTATTCCCTCACCAGCCATAATTAGTGAAGAAGGTCGTGATATTCTCGTCCGTTCCGCAAGAGATTGGATTGCCTAAAATAAAGCTAGGGAAGATATGATCCTCTTCTAAAAAGATATAAGCATTATCTTCAATACGATTCTGCTATCGATCTTTATAGAAGAATATCGGCAATATATTCCTCCCTCTATCAATTTCCCATCTGATTTATGAAGGATCTATATATATCAGCACAAGAAGATAATAGGGATATCCAATGATGATGATTTAATTTGTCTGGGTCGCAAGCGAGACGTTGGGGAAGCAATTGCCGCAATCGGAATAATTCTGTCATTCCAGTCGGAATATCCAGATGACAGCTTCTGCGGCGGGAGGATTCAGGATAGTATCCGACATTTTTGGAAATAGATTAGATTAGCGACGAAATTTGAATTGAAATATGATCTCTCCCAATATATGGTTTGCCTCCTGTCCGGCGATAATTTTGGAGGGGATAAGTCGGGGTTCCAAGAGCTTGGAGTTCAGATTAGGACGGGTTGCGTCGTTCAGATCTTGAAAACGATGGTATCAGGATAATAGATTTTCATGAATAAATTCTATGATATTGGGAAGGAGCAATTCGAATTATCTTTTCGAGCGATTGAGGATTTATAGAATAAGTATATGGCGTTCTATCTCTTCTAGCAATATATAGGATTTTGTAAATTAAAATATCTTCCTAGAATGGTTCCCCATCATTTCTTGAGTCGCTTATTGGAGTGATATGATAAACGCTATCGTGAATCTTTCGTATCGATAATTAGATAAAAATTTCCTGAGTAGTCTTGGCGATAGGCTAATCTTTCTCCTAAATCGGAGGGTTTGGGATTTGGAATTGAGAGTATTCCTATTGGGGAATCTATATATTATCGAATTGATATTTCCTATCTCATAATTTCTCATTTCATCCAGGATTTATGTCAATCCTTAGCTCCGCCTCTTCCGTATCATTCTATTTTGGGATGGATTGTGGCAGCTCAGAGACTACAAGCTTTGTTCCCGATTTGACAGGCTGATTTTCAGAATTCCCAGGCTCAGCTTGTCCCAGGTCGAAGATGCGTCTCATCGGGATTTTCAGGGAATTTTGAATCTTCGAGATAATCTACGCGTTCAATTTTATACGGGATATTGGGCTGATAGATGCGTCCGTTGCGCGCCCGATCATATATTCGAGAATTGTCTTTCCAACGTTTCATTTTCAGATTCCATATCTATGCGACTTGGATTGTCTTTCTTTGATGCTGATGAGCCTTGCCTGCGATGCTCTCAAATTTCCAATCAACATGGTCATCATTCTTGAGCTTGTATCATGATGGGGAAAACGGGATTATATAATTATATCCGTGATGAGGTTCGCCGTCTCTTGTCAGGAGGGGGACTTGGAGTGAAAATCGAACCCTTGGGACGTCTCCCCGATGCCCCCGATAGGAGACCCGCTGATCTTCTTACGATTCCTTCGGCGCTATGTCGTCAGTCATCATGGCATTTCCTTCCCTGGATTGCAATTGATTTTGTTGTTGTCTCCCCATTTCGGGCTGCAAGAGAGCACTTGGCCACAGAAGACTATGCTACTACTAACAGACTCAGCGAAACCAGCCATGCCCGATATCTCGAACAAGGGATTGGATTTGAACCCGTTGTTTTTGACCACGCAGGGGGCGTGAACGAAGAGGGTGCGAGGATTCTGGATTCGTTGTCCAAGGCAGTTGGCGGTCCGACAGGACGTCAAGCTGGACGAATTCGGCTTATGTTACACGAACAAATCTCGATTGCCCTCCAGCGCTATGTCAGCCATTGCTTCATGCATGGACGAGCGGGCGTTCAAGGGAAACATCAATTTATGCGTTTGGGATGCTTTCTCGATTGAATTTCCCTCCGGGAACTTCTCCTTCCTTACCAATGATTGCTAGACGCCAGGCCGCCCCCCTGCGCAGGCCGGAAGCGATGGATGAAGCATAGATGTGGAAGTGTCTCTAGGGCTGAAGTTTCATTGAATTCTTTCTCGCATGTTGTTGACGTTGTCGCTTCTTTCTGCGGGATATTGGGTCCCTGGGCGTTCGGCGGGTGGCGGCGGGCTTTAAAGCATGGCCTGGGGACCCGATGTCGCGCGTCTTTGCCTTCCAAAACGGCAATGTGCGAGATTGTTTCCTTGGCTTTTCTGATGGGGTCCCACTCAAAACCCAAGCTCTGACTTGGCTTTAAATAATTTATGGATTGAATAGAATGAATTTGAGCGGCTTATAGAATTATCGATTCATCTGTATACATCAATATTACGGAGCGGCCACTTGCGGTCATTTCACTCGCGCGCGGCCTAGGTTTTCCGCCTCACCTTTAAAATGTTTCCTGCGGGCTCCCTAGGGGCTCTAAAATCTCGGAGATTTTAGAATCCTTCGGAAAAATGGCGGCTTTAGAATCTCCGAAATTTTTGGTGCCGGCGGCGCAACCAAAAATCTCGGCGATACCAATATCACTTTCAGGATCTCGGCTTTCCGTCATGAGCAAAAGATTGATACAGTTCCTACTTATGATAAAGTAGATTCCTTGGCTCGAGTGTTGTTAGCCGAACTCGAAGGTGCAGTTGGAAATGAGAGTCAGCTGTCCAGGAAGGATCGAGTCGCCCTTCTGCAAACAGAAGGCAGTGACCAAGGCAAAGGAAAGGGTAAAGGCAAAGACCCTCCTAGGCCAAAAGACCCGCCTGGACCTAAGGCTGAAGG